AAGAAAAAATACAATTATAAAATGCCAGGAAAAGTACTAAAAAAGTGTATGTAAGTACAATAAAATAAGCAAAAGATTGGTCCTATAAAAGAGGTAACCAAAAATAACTTTTATTGTTAAAAATACACTATTTAAAACCATTAACGCGTTTCACCTATGAGGTTTTTTCAAAATGGTAATAGAACAATATACCTGGCATGAAACAGTATTTATAAGGATACACACTTGACACTCTTCTCCAACCTGCCGTTAAGAAAATGTAGTCATACCTCCAGGACTCTATGTCTCTTTTAAACTTTTTAAATAATTTAAAATGGAATCTCAATTTTATTTTAGTTACTTGTGATGTCCAATCCCTTTATATTATATACCCCACAATATTGGATGTGAAGCTATTAAAAATATTTTAACTAAAGAAAACAGAATTTCCGAAAAACAAATTGATTTTATCTTAGAGGGTATTAACATCATTTTAAAAAACAATTATTTTTGGTTTTTAAATTCTTTTTATCTCCAGAAAAGAGGAACTGCCATGGGTACTATGTTTGCCCCAAGTTATGCCAATTTATTCATGGCAGATTGGGAATCTACAGCCATCTACGACGGAGAAAATTTAGGGGCAAACCTGGTCTCATATTTTAGGTATATAGACGACCTCTTTTTTATATGGGATGGACCCGAAGACAGCCTTATTTCTTTTATCAATGTTCTTAATACTAATCACAGAGGCATAATTTTAACTCATGAATTTAGTAGAGAACAAATCAACTTTTTAGATCAACCACACAGTGGTTGAATTTGGCGCCAAATTTTTTTGCACCAATTAAAAACAAGTATTAAAACAATCATATTTTACAAGTTCAAAACAGATAAACTATTTTGTTGCATAAAATTAACTTTCATAAATCATAAAATGTAGTTGTTTTTGTGAAACGAAGCACTGTTAGCTTTATTATGTTTTAACTTTAATGGTCACATGATCGGGACTTAGGGGATTGCTGTGCACATGCGCGATCGGAGGTTGCCGTGCGCATGCGCAATCGGAGGTTGTGTGCGCATGCGCAATCAGAAGTTGCAGTGCGCATGCGCAGGACATGGGCAGATCACTAAGCCGCAATTAAGGACTGTGGGACTGGCATAAGGGAGCAGTGCTCCCTGGGGAATGTAGTTAGGCGGATCGATCTGCTGTAATGGGTACTATGTGACCGGCATAAGAGAGCAGTGCTCCCTGGGTAATGTAGTTATGCCGGTCACTATGTGCTAAGGAAAAAATGGGAGCAAGCTGGACAATGAAAATCCTGTTATCAGCTGCTCTCATTTTTAGTAAAATATATATAAATAAAAATCACATTTTACAGCATGTCATTAAAAACAGAGATAAGTATCAGAAATAAGACATACTTGAGCATGATTTAAAAAACAAATAGGATCCATTTTTAGAACATGGTTATAAGAAATAAAAATAAATATAAATATTAAAAAGAGTTGTTTTTTGTTAAAAACTTAAAAAACATATGGCAGATGAGAACAGGCAATATATTATATTGGAAAATGTTCTTTTATAAAAAAATTTGCAAATCAAAGTCTGCATTGAGACCTTGAGGTATAAGGGTCTGTAATCTATAGACCCATTCCATTTCTGTTTTTCCTAAAATGTTTTTTATGTCACCTCCTCTCCAAGGTATTGAACATTTTTTTATACCAATAAATTTTAACATTTTCAGATCTTTATTATGGATTAAGAAATGTATTGATACAGAGTGATTTAAGTATCCGTTTTTTATATTCCTACAATGTTCACTGATTCTGGTCTTTAGACATCTAGTGGTCATCCCCACATATTGGAAGCCGCAGGGGCATTCCAATAGATAAATCATATTTTTAGTATTGCAGTTTATAAATTCTTTTATTTTAAAAGTAGTTTTTATTCTACTTGAGGTGAATTCTGTCATTTTTGATGGCATTGTCGAATCAGCAGTTTTACATACAATGCAATTTTTACATTTGTAAAAACCTATGGATTGAGGAAAAAAGGATAATGAATTTTTTGGTGGGATTGTTTTAGTGAAGTTGGTAGTTAAAATCGATTTAAAATTAGAGGCTCCCCTGAAGATTATACTTGGCTTTTCTGGGATCATTTTACACAGTTTCTCATCATGTTCTAAAATATGCCAATGTTTTTTAATAATCTTTTTTATTTCCCTGCTTTTGTTGTTATAGTTAAAAGTGATGGGGAGAGAGATAGAATCATTTTTTATTTTAGGTTTATATATTAACAGTTCGTCCCTATTTTTTTTTTTTATCTCATTGATATTTTCTAATAGATCTGATTCTGAATAATTTTTTTCCATAAATTAATTTTTTAGGACATCAGCTTGTTCATTAAAACTTTCTAATTCTGTACAGTTTCTCCGTAGTCTTAAAAATTGGCTTTTTGGGGCACTGTCGAGCCAAGGTTTGTAGTGACAACTGTTTTTGTCAATTACTGTGTTAACACAAACTTTTTTGAAAAAAATTTTAGTGTGGATTTGTCCATTTTTAATAAATATATTAAGATCTAAAAAGTTGATTTGTTCTCTACTAAATTCATGAGTTAAAATTATGCCTCTGTTATTAGTATTAAGAACATTAATAGAAGAAATAAGGCTGTCTTCGGGTCCATCCCATATAAAAAAGAGGTCGTCTATATACCTAAAATATGAGACCAGGTTTGCCCCTAACTTTTCTCCGTCGTAGATGGCTGTAGATTCCCAATCTGCCATGAGTAAATTGGCATAATTTGGGGCAAACCTAGTACCCATGGCAGTTCCTCTTTTCTGGAGATAAAAAGAATTTAAAAACCAAAAATAATTGTTTTTTAAAATGATGTTAATACCCTCTAAGATAAAATCAATTTGTTTTTCGGAAATTCTGTTTTCTTTAGTTAAAATATTTTTAATAGCTTCACATCCAATATTGTGGGGTATAATAGTATAAAGGGATTGGACATCACAAGTAACTAAAATAAAATTGGGATTCCATTTTAAATTATTTAAAAAGTTTATAAGAGACATAGAGTCCTGGAGGTATGACTTCATTTTCTTAACGGCAGGTTGGAGAAGAGTGTCAATGTATTGTGAGAGGTTGCAAAGAAGCGAGCCTATACCTGACACTATTGGTCTGCTGGGGGGATTTGTTACATTTTTATGTATTTTAGGTAAGAAGTAAACCACCGGGATTTTGGGAAATTTTTATCTAAAAAATTGAACTCCTGTTTTGTTAAAATACCTTGAGATACACCTTTGTTTAAAAAGACAGATAAAATATTTTGAATGGTATTAGTTGGATCTGATAGGAGTTTGTCATAGACATCGGTGTCATTTAGCTGTCTGTGTGCTTCTTCTATATACATGGCGCTAGATATGATGACTACACCTCCTCCTTTGTCAGCTGGTTTTATAACAATATCATTATCATCTTGTAACTCTTTGAGTGCTTTCCTTTCTTTGTTTGTTAAATTGTGTTTATCATATTTATTGGTCTGTAATTTTTCTAAATATTTAGTAGCCAGTTTTTCGAATACTGATAGTGGAGCAGTCTTCATAAAGGCTGGGTAAAATTTTGACTTTTCTTTAAAATATGTGTTTATAATGTGATTATTTTGAGTTGGGGAAGGAAGTGGAATAGGGTTGTTGGCACTGAGAATTGAACTTTCTTCGTTTTTTTCAATAAAGTATCGTTTTAAAGAGGCTTTGCGGACAAATTTATTAATGTCAATAAAAGCTTCAAACGGTTTGAAAGCGTTAGTTGGAGCAAACTTAAGACCTTTGTTTAAAACCGGCAGCTGAGCAATGGACAAGGTTTTTTGAGAAAGGTTAAAGATCCCACTATTTAAATCCTTTTGGGGGCTTACTGTCTTTCTAATCTTTCTCTCTTGTTCCCGTCTACCACTTCTTCCTCTAAGCTTAGAACACGTTTTTGTGATTGTGACGGGTGAGGTGTTTGGTTTAGTGTGCTTGGGTGAGTGCGGATCTCTAAAAAATGATCCTCATTTTCGAATTCAGAGTCTATTGACAGCAATTGGTATCTGTTGGAATGGTGGGGGATAATGGGTGATTTGGGATGTTCAATACGATCGTTGATGTATCTTGATCTTTGTGGTTTGGGTGAAAAATCTCTTATAGGAGTGTGTGTTTTAAGGATATTTTTTGGCTTGTGGAGAATGTATATGTCTCTGTTTGTAATGTGGCAGTGTTTGAAAAGATTGGTATTGGGATTTGGCCAAAGCACCAGAGTAAGATTCAGTATGTGATTTATGTGGTCGCTGTTGTTTATAAGGTGACTGTAAAGGTTTCTTTTTAGCATAGTTGTGATATTGATGTTGGTGATAGTCTAGTTGGTGAGTGCTGGTGGTAGTTTTTCTTGTTTGGGGAAATGTGTCTGTTCTTGTATAGTGTCTATTGGTTTGAGAAAGATCTTGGTGATTTTGTGTAGTATATCTTCTATTTAGGTGATAAGTGCGTACTTGTTTACTTGAGTAATCTGTTTTATCTCTAATGTATTTTTTTATTTTGATATGTTTAGTGTCTGTCTCTAACTTTTCAGTTTTGCTTTGGATTAATATACAATTTTGGTTGTACGCTTCAGTTTCCTTATAAATACTGTTTCAAGCCAGGTATATTGTTCTATTACCATTTTGAAAAAACCTCATAGGTGAAACGCATTAATGGTTTTAAATAGTGTATTTTAAACAATAAAAGTAATTTTTGGTTACCTCTTTTATAGGACCAATCTTTTACTTATTTTATTGTACTTATATACACTTTTTTTAGTACTTTTCCTGGCATTTTATAATTTTATGCATGAGCGCTGAGCTCCAGCCCTGACCGGAAGATATAGGGGGAAAACTGCACAACAAACCCCCAATGGCAACTAAAAAGCATCGCAATGCAATGGGGAATGCCCCCACAGCAGACACACCGTAAGCTAAAATCTCCCTGAGTCGATATTTCGGCGAAAAAATGGACCCACAAAAACGGGACAAAATGGCACCCGCAACACAAACACGAGGCAGCCAGCCATCAAGCCCGACGGCATCAGAAGGCTCCACAGATGAACATGATATCCGGGCTTTGCTGACCCAATTACCCTCAAAAACTGACCTGGCAGCAATGTTTCAGAAACTGGAGAACAGCTTTGGTGAGAAACTCCAGGCAGTGAATGCAGACGTGCAGCAGCTCGGAGCCAGAGTGCAGGCCCCAGAGGAAAAAGCAGAGAACACTGACAAACAATTGGCTGAATCATACACCACTCAGGAGACAAACGCAGAAGCAATAAGGTACCTACAAAGGAGACTGGAGGATGTAGATAACCAAGGGCGCGAAATAACTTGAGGGGAGATGGGCCAACCGGAGAGTGAGGAGGGTGTCACAGAAAACCTCATACAGGTCCTAACCACCCTTTTTAACCACATCCTAGCCAGACCCAATGATACAGTCATTATTTGACAGGCAACCTCCAAAACAAGACCCACACTATTACCTCTTGTAACGGACCGTTTTGCTCACCAGAGGTTAAAAACTGTTTAGGCGATCGTCCCCTTCCAGAGATGCAGGCACAGCTACTGCAGAACACCAATCCGCCGAACAGGAAACCATACGAATGCTGTAAACAGCCGAATAGGAAAAACCATACGAATAGGTTTACACTCCTAGCAGTCAAACTGGAACAGCATACAGTAAATCCCCCCAAGAACGAGACAAAGCTCCGTGTTGAGGGTCAAGCAGTGAACAGACAGAGCTGTGGGTTTATTGTGCTTATGTACACATTCTTACACATTAGTACCACCCACAGGGTTTTGGAACACAACCAATAAACACATACAATACACTCAGACACTCCCACACAAATTCCTCCCCTCTGCATGTGATTCAATTACATTACACAATGGGTAATGTAATTTAGAACAAGCAGAGAAATACAATTTTGCCACATTATTCATAACTTGAAAAGCATGCATTACATTCACATATTGTGAATAAAAGAGGCTGTATGTGCCAGTACAGGCAGTTCTGCTTGACCTCAAAACGAAGTGTCGTCTCGTTATTGGGGGAATTGGTTTGTATGCTGATTGCCAGGAGTGTAAGCTGATTGTATGCTTTTCCTGTTCAGCTGCTTACAGCATTCAAATGCTTGAGAGCATTCATATGCTTCTTCGGTTCGGTGGTTGTGGTGTCTGCTGCAGTGCTTGGAGTCCTCAGGAAGCGCTAGGAGCATCCTTCAACGGAGGTACCCAGTCGGGGTGCCAGGTGACCTGTTACAGCATCCAAAGGTAACGTCACGTGGTCGGACCACGCCCCAATATCCCTGACGGTCACCCTCCAGAAAGAGCCCAAGCACACCACACACTGGCAACTAAACAAAACCCTCCTGGATGACCCCAGAGTATTAGACGACCTGCGACAGACTGTAGACAACTATTTTATAGACAATGGGAACACTGAGATATCAGACCCTTGGGTTTGGGAAGCCCACAAAGGAGTTATCAGAGGTACCCTTATTAAATGAGGTTCTAGAATCAAAAAAGAACAAACTCACAAAATGGATTCTCTCACAGCAGACATACACTCAGCCGAGGCCACACACAAACAAGATCCCACAAATGAAAACTTTCAGAAATTAACAGCCCTACGAATAGAATTAAGATCATTACTAACCGCAAGGGCATATAGATCAGTTCAACTGACAAGAGGCACTTTCTTTTCATGGCAACAAAAGTGGGAAACTATTGGCCAGAGCCTTGAAAGACAAACAGCAGAGATCATTCATAGATAAAATAGCAGATGATACAGGTAGACAACATAACACTATGGATGATATAGCCAAGGCGTTCAACGCTTTCTACACAAACCTATATAACCTAACCCCCCCAAATGAACAAACCCACAACCTGAGGGAATATATTTCTACAAACCTCCCACGCAAGATCCCAGACGATCAATCACATGCACTGGACGAACCGTTTACACATATAGAACTGCTCTCCACAATTAAGGCACTGCCGAAAGGTAAAACGCCCGGCCCATACGGACTGACAGCAAGATACTACCAAACAATCACACAAGAACTGTCCCCTCACTTTCTGAAAACATTAAATGGCCTAACCCATGAAACTCCTCTACCACCTCCAATGCTACGGGCATCTATCACTATCATCCCTAGCCAGGCAAGGACCCCACAAAATGTGGTAGCTATAGGCCCATATAATAAATCTAAACCTAAAATTAATGGTGAAAATGATAGCCAATAGGCTCAAGCCTCTTATACCAAACCTAGTACACCCTGATCAGACGGGCTTCGTGCCTGGACGCGAGGCTAGAGATAATACCACAAAAATTCTAAACGTCATTCATGGATCAACGGTGACTAAAACACCAACTCTACTGATGGCTATTGATGCTGAAAAAGCCTTCGACAAGGTTGACTGGTCATACTTATTTATGGTCCTAGAGGTCTTGGGGATGTGCCCAAGATTGAGGGGACCCTCAGCCAATGTCAGAGTAAACGGCCACTTATCTGCACCATTTCAAATAAGCAACGGCACACGCCAAGGCTGCCCCCTCTCTCCCCTTTTATTTGTCTTGGCCATGGAGCCTTTCCTGACAGCAATCAGGTCCCACACTAAAATACAGGGATATTGACATCATGGAGGAGAGGTGAAGGTATCCACATTTGCGGACAATGTCCTATTCACGCTCACAGACCCAACTAAAACACTACCACACATAATCACCGAGATTCACACCTTCGGATCCCTCTCGAACTTTAAGATTAATGCAGACAAATGCAAAATATTAGGGATTTCGGTACCTCCGACCCTGCAAACACGAATTCAACAAAGGCATACTTTCCCTTGGACTCAAACAGGACTGACATATCTGGGGATAGGACTCATCACGTCACCCAAAAGCCTATCCAAACTAAATTACCCCCCCTCATAGACAATATTAAACGAGACCCACAAAAGTGGGATCTACCTTATTTCTCCCTAATGGGATGGATCAGCATTCTAAAAATGATGATGATTCTTCCGAAAATACTATACCTCTTCCAGGCCCTACCTATTCCTCTCCCAGGGGCATTCTTCAAACAGATGCAGACAACTTTCACCAACTACATCTGGGGCAACAAACCAGCAAGGATAGCCCTCACCACACTGACCTCCACCACAGGCAGGGGCGGACTAGGGCTTCCCCATCTATACAAATACTATGTGGCAGTATTGCTCACTTGATTAAACGAATGGACAGATACCAACAGGAAAAAATTATGGTACGCACTAGAACAGAGCTTTACATCAGTCCCCCTACACACTCTGCCACGGCAGACATGCCAACTTACAGAGCTCACTCCTACACGGCACCCACTCACACACAACGTCCTCACAATATGGAGAAGGTACAAAGACCTATGGGATTGTCACCGGGACTGTCGAGATTCTTCCCTATAGCAGACAATCCTGACTTTCAGGCAGGATGCGGGGGACCACTCCTTACCCGCCTCACGGGGTCATCCACCCCAGACATAACCGAAATGATCTTGGGAGAACCACCTACTGTCAGGGCCATGTATTGACCATACAGACATGCTCATTTTTGTGATAGAGACCTTCTTAAAAAGAACCGTTATTCCTCTCTGGAAACAGAGAGCAGACACACCCTTTGAGCATCCTTGTGGCCCAGAGAGCGACCCTAAATGCCCCTTATCTAAAATATACCTCTTCCTTCAGGGAGCCGATGGTGAGCACAAACCACTGTTATTCCAATAGAAATGGATGAAAGACCTCCGTATACATATTTCTGAAAAAGACTGGTCAAGTATCATGGAAACGGGTATCAAAACCACGATCAGTGTGGCACACAGGGAGACCTTCTATAAAAGATCCACCTGGTGGTACAGGACTCCAGTCCTGCTACACTCAATTTGGCCTTCTATTAGTAACATATGCTGGAGATGTTCAAATAGTCCAGGTGATATAGAACATATTTGGTGGAGTTGTCGAGACATACAAGGTTTTTGGCTCCTCATACTTTCTGAAATAACTAAAATACTGGAACCACCGACTCGCCTAACCCCATCCCAGGTTCTGCTAGGCTGGCCTCGTACATTTGCGGAAACTCATAAGCAACAGCTGCTACACCACTTCTGGGGGAAGCAAATGCTCTTACCCGCTACACTTGCGGAACTCCAGCACACCATCCAAAGAGCAGTGGGTACAAAGGGTAGAACGAACTAGAGAATTAAAGGAAATCCACTGGACATCATTGGGGAAACGGTATAAATATCTCCAAAGATGGGAGCCCTGGACAGAGTTCTGAAAACGACCCCCAGGGCAAAAGGTCACCTAAGCACTCCTAGGTTAGAAATCCAGAGGTCTAGACAATAAGGCAGGACGCAGAACCCCCTTATACAAAGATAGAGCACAAGGAACCAAGGAATAACCACCGTACCAGGCAGGACCCCGTTAGACCTCCACCACCTCCCTTCCCCCCTTACAACTCCCCTTACCCCCGACAAGTTGCCAACCCTTAGTTGATCCCCAACCCCTTATATGGTTCTAGATAGAGACAACAACACCATTTTACTGGCACCAAACCAGTAACATCTAGTGGAACCAATGTTAAACTCCAACATGCAACTATAATAGTACTAAAATATCGATAAAGGTATGTGCGTATGCACATAATGTTATGTAACCCTTATATGTAACAATTGAATGTTTCCTCTTTTCTTCTGTATCCCAAAACCTTGTCCTTAAGAAAATAAAGACAAACTGAAAAAAAATAAAAAATAAAAATCATAAGGTAGAATGTAAGAGAATCAATACTCTGACCTGTACTCTAGCTGGAGCAGCAAAGAAAGAGGAAGAGGCAGGCACCACAAAGACATATGTAGAACATTTCTTGATTCTGATTGGTTAAAATTTTTGATTGATCTGTGCTGCTGGAGTTGTTAAGTAAAGAAAGATTATGCAAATACAAAGCCTGCTGTCATGTGGTAAAATTGAAATCTGACCAATATTAATCCAGATATATATTCCTGCTATTAGTAAATATTAATAAAATTTAATTAAATAAAACCAGCATAATTACCAGTTATGTTGTAGATTTGATATCATATGTGTGGATATGTCCCAGGAATGTCGAATGCAAGTATGATGAGAACTGTGGAAAATAGAAAAATTCTGAAGTTCTGAAGTTGTGTTAGTTGGAAAATATAACCATTAAGTGTGTAGATCTTTTGATTCAGATGTCAGATCTTAGCTGTTAGATGTGAGTCCAAGAGAGTGTTTAGAGTCAGAATGTCTCTCTCTTCCCTTTGTCCTTACTTTCAAAGGGGAAAACTCTCTGCACGTCACTAGTTGATAGGACCAGTAGGGAACTGTAGGTGTGTCTTCCCTACAGACTATCATCTAGTTTTTGGTCAGTTGGTGGCGCAATTACATCAAAGAAAATTCTTGTCAGGTGGTCCATTTACCTTTTTGTATAATGGGTTAAGTGAATTTGGTGATACGTTTCACATAATTTTTGTTATCTCTTATGCAATTTCGGTCGTAAAATTAGATTTGACACCTCCTAACCTTAATTTCACCCTTTCTCTTACAAAGGAACTAGTAATGTTCCATTCATTTTTTTTTAGAAAGTAAAATTAATTACTTAGTGTTATCTGTCATTTGGTTCTGTCTGGTTTTCTTGTCTTGTTTACATAAGTCGCATTCCTTAGTTTAGACTTGAAAGAATAGAGTGATGGAGAGAGAGAAATCTTGTGTCTGTCTTAGCCTTGTAATACAAAATGGAGTCACCTCTGTTGTTAGGGTGATTGGCAGTATACACTTTTAATTTCTATCTTAACACAAAATGTCTGCCGATATAAATATACTGACACCTTTTTGTTCAACATGCACTTATTGACGCTATATGAATAAAGTATACTTACTATTACAAAAAGGATGAATGAAAGTAAGAAATAGTGAAAGAGGAAAGTATAGATTAGAGATAGGTTGAACATGTATCTCACAAAATATTTGCTAGACTTGGAGATTCGTTTCAGAACAAATTGCAATTCAGGAAAACTTGGTCCGTTAGATATTCAACTGGTTTGGAAGCTGAAATAAATCCAAATTACAGACTAACTAAACCATGCTTCTAAATGACAAAGAAAATATTAACAGCTAGGGTACAGTCACTAAATTATATTAATTTTATTTTATTTTCAGATCAAGTGAGAAGTAAGCAAAAGAAGGAAAAAGAGAAGGAGCAGTTTTAAAAAAAAATCTATATTAAATCTATATTATAAATAAAAATATTATAATTATATTTAAAAATATATAACATATAAATGTATAAATAAAGATTTATTTTTTTAAATGTGTAACCTTGGCACTCACCCCTTTAAAGTAGCTTGATAAACCTGCAAGTGCACCTACTCTCTTTTGAATATATATATATATATATATATATATATATATATATATATATATATATATATATATATATATATATATATATATATATATATATATATATATTTTTTTTTTATATATATATCAGACAAAATAAACAATTCATAAACAATGATTAACTAAACAATGATTTCAAATCTTAGAGATTGTAATAGTTTTATTTAAAAACTCCTCACCTAGGCAAAATTAATTAATTAATTAATCCACTTACTTGGGAAATACTTCCTCCTGGGACTCTCTGCAAGTAAAGGATAAATAGGGTCCTTGAATGAGGCACCTGTGACAAATAATAATAAAACTATTATAATCTGTAAGATTTGAAATCATTGTTTGGTGAATAAGTGAGTGCGCCGGATTGTGTATTTTGTATGTTGTATATATTGCCCCCATAGTCTCAGGCACACAGTCAATCACACAGTTACAGGCAGACAGTCACACACAAATAGTTGCAGGCAGACAGTCACACACAGAGTCACAGACAGACAGTCACACACACACACACACACACAGCTACAGGCAGACAGTCACACACAGATACACACAGTTACAGGCAGTCACATGCACAATTACAGGCACCATCACACACACCGAGTGACATGCAGACAGTCACAACAGTCATAAGCAGACAGTGACACGCAGTCACACACACAGGCAGACAGTCATACACAGTCACATGTAAACAGTCACACATACACACAGTTACAGGCAGACAGTCACACACAGTCCCAGGTAGACAGCCACAGACACACACACATACGGTTACAGACAGTCACAGGCAGACAGTCACAAGCAGACAGTCACAGACGCAGTCACTGATAGACATTCACACACACAGGCAAACTCCCCCACCCTCCTTAGCACACCACTTCTATAATGTATGCATGTTTAGGTGCGTTCTTGGTTTCATATATATTTGGAAGCAAATCAGAAGTGCATACCAGTGTGCAGCACGCATTTTGCAGCTGTACATTATTTAATGTGTTGTAATAACACTCCAAATTAAACAGAAACAGGACTATAAATTGAGTTTTTACGTTAGGAGTAGTGATGTCCAGAACGGTTCGCAACAGATGGCGAACATATGAGTTGTTCGGTCTGCCCCCTATGTCATCATTGAGTAAACTTTGACCCTGTACCTCACAGTCAGCAGACACATTCCAGCCAATCAGCAGCAGACAATCCCTCCCAGACCCTCCCACCTCCTGGACAGCATCCATTTTACATTCATTGTCAAGCTGCATTCTTAGTGAGCTGTCCAAGAGGTGGGAGGGTCTGGGAGGGAGGGTCTGCTGCTGATTGGCTGGAATGTGTCTGCTGGCTGTAAGGTACAGGGTCAAAGTTTACTCAATTATGACGAATAGGGGGCAGACCGAACAGCGCATATGTTCGCCGTCCGTGGCGAACCGTTTGGCGAACCGTTCGGGACATCACTAGTTAGGAGTAGAGAGGTCGCGAACTGCTCGCCGAACTGTTCGCGAACTGTCCGCCGGCGAACAATAGCGTGTTCGCATTGGGCGAACATATACGATTTCCGGTCCGCCCCCTATTCGTCATCACTGAGTAAACTTTGACCCGGAACCTCACAGTCAGCAGACACATTCCAGCCAATCAGCAGCAGACCCTCCCTGCCAGGAAGTGTCTGCTGACTGTGAGGTTCCGGGTCAAAGTTTACTCAATGATGACGAATAGGGGGCGGACTGGAAATCGTATATGTTCGCCCAACGCGAACACGCTATTGTTCGCCGGTGGACAGTTCGCGAACAGTTCGGCGAGCAGTTCGCAACATCTCTAGTTAGGAGTGATTAAAATCCCCATTTAACCTTTTGACTGCCAGAAAAATCTAATGAATGCTATCTGTACAGCTAGCAGTTTAATGGCTACCTGTCTAATCCATCTCTTTGTAAATAGCATAACTAGTACAATTACATTTCTCTAACAGAAAGATGATTTAGAGGGAACAAGACTAATTTAAATATATTGAAGGTTTGAACAGTGATACCACAAAAGAATAATATAGCAGTCAACATTTTCAGCACAGAACCAAAAAAATCAAATACGTTTTGAAACTAAAATAGTCAAAGTCAGACAGGGTTTTCTGCAGGGTATGTTTGACTAATTACCGATGAGCACTAATAAAAAAAAATAAAAAATTACTATACTGTCAGTTATAAACAAGTGTGAATTTAACAATGTAGACAGAACTTTATAGAAAGGGAGTAAATTAGGGGGTGACACAGGCTATTCTGCCTGTGGAGTGAATTATTTAGAAAAAAAGTAGTATATCTGAAAAAGGACAGTGCAAATAATGTGAACATAGTATACATAAACATATTTTTTTCATATAACAAGGTAGCAGATATATATATTGCATACACATTCTATTCTTGTTAACTGATTTCACTCAAGTAGAGAATGTAAAATCTATCATCTATAGTTAGAGGCTAGGAGCATGAATTATTGGGAAGTGAAACACATTGGATGACTCAAGGTGATACAGAAATTAAAGAAAGTTAATGTAAACAAAGCCACAGGGCCTGATGGTATTAACCCACAGGTACTTAAGGAGCTAAATGTGAAAATTAGCTAATCTCTGTTTCTAATATTTTAGAATTCTTTTCTTTCATGAATTCTACCAGAGGATTGGAGAAAGGCAGATGTGGTTCCAATATATATTTGTGTTCGGGGCAAATAGCCGTATATGGAGTAAGGTTCCAGCACAAGCGTAGGATAGTATAAAGGGAGCAAGTCGGTTGTGGTGTGCCGAGACCGACGATACGGTAGGCCTGTAAATAAAGAGGGCCCACCAAGGAGTAAGAAAGTAAAGTAAATGGAAAGAAAAGAGAAAGTGTTGAAATGAGGAGTGGGTGGGAGGGTCATTCTGATGCTGACCTCAAGCGATATGAGTCAGGTAAGGGGTGTCCCTTATATAGGGGAGTGAATTAATTTAAGCCCCTCCCACAAATACAGGCCAAATGGCCTTAAAACTTGTGTTCGGGGCAAATAGCCGTATATGGAGTAAGGTTCCAGCATAAGCGTAGGATAGTATAAAGGGAGCAAGTCGGTTGTGGTGTGCCGAGACCGACGATACGGTAGGCCTGTAAATAAAGAGGGCAAAAAGAATAATCAAAGATTTAATACAGTCAACAATATATACAAATTAACCAGACATTTCCTTAAATGCATTACGGTATTTAATTCCTTGAAGGATTTTTGAAGGTAGGAATCTAGGACCGCAACTGGACACCATTTGTTGTGGGTAGGATAGTATGTTATCTCTACTGTTGGTGCGTGTTGACTCGTTTCGGAATGTGGTAGTGCCAATAGGTAATGATATATGTGTTTACATACGTGGGATCGTTGAAGACAATGATCTGTCTGAGTGGTGGTTATGGTAGTGGATTCTCTGGCCTGAGAAAGGCATAAAAGGCAGTGTGCATGGTGGTAATGGCCAACTTGGTAGTATAATTGAATGGTTGTAGCTCTAATAGGTCCGATAAGGATGGAAAAGTTGGATGGCTATTGGTAATATCTGAGAGGAACGTGGGGGGATGGATTCCTGAAAACCTCTGAGTATATTCTTGTCTGGTATGATAGCATGAAGTTTATGGTAGTTTTGGCCATAGGTTATCATGTGTTGTTGAATGCCTGTAAAATATATAATTAATGGTGTGTGAGATGGTTTTAGTTTAAGGTGGCAAAAAATGAAGAAAAACCTAGGAGAAATGTTATGACACAGGTTGAGCTGTGTCGTATTCCAATGAGATTCTTTAAAGCCAGGTGAATAGGTGTTATGCGTTCTACAAGTATGGGATGAAAGTGCTAGGTGGGATAGTGCATGCAATGCTGTATGAGTATGTCTAATCCATGATTTTGTCTCTGGAACGAAAGAGTGGCCGTGACTGTATGGGCGGCTGTAGGAAGCGTATGATGAACGTGCCTGGAATATAAATGAGACAATTGTCGGCAAGGATGTATACCCCCGCCTGGTACATGAAAGTAAAAGAAATGTGGTAAGTGGCCAACCAAGTGAGTTCCCCAGCAATACCATGATCGTATGGATGATGAGTGGCATTTGTTGATGATATGACATGTGCTTAGTTGTCTGAGTAACAACGGATTGATGACCCTGACCATGATTTACCCCATGCCACAGCAGCTGCTTTTAGCGGGGATAGGATTGCCCATTTTATGCCATGTAAGTGCCAGTTTGTAGGGTAGATGGTAGCAGTTTACTGTGTTGATGATATTGGTCTTACTTAACGAAGCTTCAACCCATGCTTGAGTGATAGCTGTAAAGGTAGATCAATGGTGTGTATAGTAAGGAAACTCCTCGGAGGGTATGAGGGAGTTGAGACTTGGGGTAGCGAAGGTGTGTGGTGCCAATAAGTCTATGGTTAGTCTTTGTTTAAGGGAAGATTCCCTTGTGACAATACCAATGTGTTTGTGTTTGGTGCCATTGTAAATGGTGGAGATTGGAAAACCCAAGTAAAAACCCCTCTGCAAATCTTGGCTATGAGTGTGTTTACAGCCGACGGTTCTGTTGTGCTGACTAAGTGAGGGCATACTATATTCCTTGAAGGTGTGTTTATGATACCTGTATGGGAGCCCTTTGAAGCTCCAGAGCCTTAGTAAATCTACTACAAGTCTGGAAGGGTGATGAGTCAGTAGTGTTGAAAATGCATTGGTGTGTACAGATGATGAGTACGTTATTTGTAAGTTGTATTGGGACACATGGTTTGTCATGTGCCCTGAATGATTTGAACATATATGCAACAGTCTATATGCAATGCAACTACTAATACCAATTGTCTCTGGTAGTTCAGAGGTGCTGGTACCTGGAGCCTGAGAGTGCTCGCCCGTTTGTTTGGGAGAAAATCCCTTCTGGATGGGTACCTGTACAAATAAGCATCTCTACATATTCCAAATGCCAGCACAACCAAGGGATGGTCAGTTCCCGATTTACCTAGAATCCCTGGGTCTGACCATCATAGATACATCATCATACATATATATGCCTTGTTTCCCCAATGTGCCGGGATCATATGTGCAGGTTAACGTCTTGAACCAAGTAACCGAGTTTCGGTTGGTGCTGGTTGTACAGTAGCGTGAGGCCCAGCCTTGTGAGGGCTGTGACTGACTCGAGATTGCCAGTCTGTCGTAAATTTTTTGGCTCATGAGTTTATGAGTAAGGCTAGCATGGCCTGGGTGTCACCTGAGTTGGTGTTGCTGGGCCTTCCCCCTCCGTGTTGTCCGTTGCTGTATGGAGGAGTTTGAATAACTCTGCTTTCCTTGCTGTGGCAGGGTAGGGGATTTGTCGCCTCCTTAGGTCGGAGCCACATCTCCTCTGCTTGAAGGTGTATCACTTCTAGCCGGGGTGCCAGGAAGAGGTGATTCTTCACCATCTTTTTGAGAAATACTTAAATAACAATAAAGATTGCAATTATTATTTGTACCCAGGAGTCTTGTACTGGCTTGCTAGCTAAGCCGTAAGGCGAAACGATTAGGCTTGGTGTTTTTTTTGGTGACTGGTGAGGCCCTGCTAGTTGCCAAGTGGCTTGAGAGGCTCTATCTATGCTTGGCGCAAGGGGATTTTGTGTGGCCACCGAACGTTGTGGCAGGATGTTGGCCTCTCGGTGACAGTAACCAGAAAAAATAGGAAGGGGAGTGACAGGTGAGGCCCTCTATGATACAATGCGAGGCGGCTAGCTCACGAGTGGCCCGAGGGGTGTATGCCTCCGAGTGTGAGGCGGGGTGTTGGCCTCGCGGGACCACTAACCAAAACGTAAAGCAGAGAAAACAGGAGTAATACCTATTGTGCCATAGAACCCTAATTGCCAGTACATTACTACTATTCCAGGGAAGGTAAGAGATGAAGGTGTATCACTTCTAGCCGTGGTGCTAGGAAGAGGTGATTCTTTACCATCTTTTTGAGAAATACTTAAATAACAATAAAGATTGCAATTATATATTTGTACCCAGGGGTCTTGTACCGGCATGCTAGCTAAGCCGTAAGGCGAAACGATTAGGCTTGGTGTTTTTTGGTGACTGGTGAGGCCCTGCTAGTTGCCAAGTGGCTTGAGAGGCTCTATCTATGCTTGGCGCGAGGGGATTTTGTGTGGCCACCGAACGTTGTGGCAGGATGTTGGCCTCTCGGTGACAGTAACCAGAAAAATAGGAAGGGGAGTGACAGGTGAGGCCCTCTCTATGATACAATGCGAGGCACCTAGCTCACGAGTGGCCCGAGGGGTGTATGCCTCCTAGTGTGAGGCAGGGTGTTGGCCTCGCGGGACCACTAACCGAAGCATAACGCAGAGAA